GTGTAGCACGCGAAGCAAGAGAAGAAAGTACAAGAAAAGCATAATAGAGACAGTGAGCAGAGGTGTGAGACAAAGGAGTAATAAAGAAATACAAAACAGTTTCATTGAAGATCATAAGTCACAAGGAGTGGATGCATCTTCGCCACTGAGAACGATGAGTTTGAGCCATGTCACCAATTGTTTCCAACCATAGATTTTTACCGTCCCGAGGACCCCAGCCTGGAAGTCTACACCTTTCTACGTGGCTTAGACCAACTGTTGTGGATTTCATTGACTGATGCCAAGTTTTTGTTTCACCGCCGCTAGCTAGGTAAGGAGGGGAAATCAATCGACGAAGTCGTGAAGCTACAAAGACTGAGATGGTTAGGACATGTGTTACGTATGCCAAGCCATCGCCTCCCTCGACGAGCAATGTTAGCGGATATAGGGTCAGGCTGGAAAAAAGCTAGCGGCGGTCAAACAAAAACTTGGCGTCAGTCAATGGAATCCACAACAATTGGTCTAAGCCACGTAGAAAGGTGTAGACTTCCAGGCTGGGGTCCTCGGGACGGTAAAAATCTATGGTTGGAAACAATTGGTGACATGGCTCAAAATCGTTCTCAGTGGCGAAGATGCATCCACTCCTTGTGACTTATGATCTTCAATGAAACTGTTTTGTATTTCTTTATTACTCCTTTGTCTCACACCTCTGCTCACTGTCTCTATTATGCTTTTCTTGTACTTTCTTCTCTTGCTTCGCGTGCTACACGGAATGTGGCGACTTGAACTTCCGCACATTTGTGCAAAGTTCTATGTCAAAAACAGACAGACAGTTCAAAGCATATATGTCTGTCTGTTTTTGACATAGAACTTTGCACCGATTTGCACCATTTCAAGTCACCACACTCCATTTCTTACACAAAGCAAGGGAAGAAAGTAGAAGATATGCATAATAGAGACAGTAAACAGAGGTGTGAGACAAAGGAAGAGTAATAACGAAGAACAATATAGTTTCAATGGAAATCATAAGTCACAGGGAGTGGATGCATCTGCACTAGCCATTAAGAACGATTTCAAGCCATTTCACCAATTGTTTCCAACCATTGGTTTTTACCGTCCCGAGGACCCCAACCAGTCAGGAAGTGTACACCTTCCTGCGCGTTTTGAAGAAGTTTAATTCTTACTCTTCTAGCAAGATTCCCAGGTATTCGATAGACAACTTTGAAGTCCCTTTGTGGGTTAGCTTGGTGTCCAGATTCGATCAGGTGTGTTCAGGATAGATCTGCGGTGGAGGGAGGTGTTTTTTTTCTCCTTTATAAAACCATGAAGATGTATTCGATGATACGTACAGCGGACATACCTAACTTCACATAAGCAGGTGAATTGGTAGATGCACATTGATGAGGCCAGCCAACAGTGGTAGCTTATCCTTCACATTCATGCGAATCATTGGTTTCGTAGAGACGGTTAGTCAAAGTTCAGCCGTAAGGAAGGTGTTTTCTTCAGTGAGCGGGAAAGGTGGTTTTCCAATATTTCTGCCGAGGAGTTTCCATTGAATTGTAGATTTAAGTAGAGACGCTTTTTGGGAACAATGTCTGTCAGTTTCAACGGTTCAGGCCTCATAGCATCAGGGCTGGAAATACATTGGGTTCTGTGTCTCAGTGAACAGATTAGGTTTCGCTTTGTATATAGAGGTACCCAACTATGAAAGTTACTGAGTTGTTCGTTTCATGTCGGCTTTCTGTAGATGGCTCTTTTTATTATTCCACCTTATTGACATCTCGTTAATAGACAGTTCAGAAAAGATATTTTTGTGTCGGATTACTACTCTAATGTGAACTGAATCACAGAATGGCAACAGTTGAAAAAGTTCAGGATGTCCTGCAAATTCTCCTGATTGTCTTTTGTAAAACCGAAGCTATTCATTATTTTATATATGAAGAGAGTCACTGGGATATCTGACCTGCCCGAAGGTTATCAAAACCAATACAAATTAACAAAAGGTGAGAAAGTCTCTGCAAATAACTAATCACGTTCAAAGTCACCAGGAGAGGTGGTTTGTTATAAAAGTTTCTCTTCGTATTAAAGTCTGCGCTGAAGATATCTATAACAATAATAATAAAAGCTTCACAAATAAATCATGAAGCTTGGAGAACGCTATTATACCAATTGTCTCCTTGATCTCTGTGAAGACCAGTGTCGTCGGTTGTGGAGTGATGGACATGGGATCGATGGCAATCTTCAGCTTTTTTTTTAATGCAACTGAATGTCTCATATTCATCAGTGTATTTAAGTATCCTGTAATGATTCAATTTTTGCCTCCTGTGATGAATCCGTAAGATGGGTTTATTGATCAAATTCTTGTAGCTGAACTCTATATTATTATTTTCCTTGGTTTTCTTGTGAGTCATTTTTGGTGACTGACTGACTGGTGTCAGCGTAGAACTTTGCATAGATGTGCAACAGTTCGAGTTGCCACACTCCCTTCGTGTAGCACAAAAAGCAGCAAGAGAAGAGAGTAAAGACAGATTCATCAGCCCACGTCAACGCACACCTGATATCTATGGTCGGCCTGCGAAATTTGGGCTACCGATATCCACGCTGAAAATTCTATACTTGTACCAAAACTACGGTGTGGAATCAAGCTGTAATCAAAAACATAAAAATAAAAACAGAAGTGTGAGTGAAGGGAAAAGAATAGTAGTAATATGGAAGAACAATAAAGTACTTTGATTGGATGTCGTCAATCACAGTGAATGCATCTGCGCCAGCCATATCACCAAATGCCTCCACTCACAAGTTCCTACTATCCCGAGGACCCCAAGAACAGTTAGGAAGTCTACACCTTCCTCCGTACATAGCTTAAACTAACTGTTGTGGATTTCGTTGATTGATGTCATATTTTGGTTTGACCACCACCAGCTCTTTTCCAACCTGATGAATCCTATGTTACCTAATATTTACCGTCGAGGAAGGCGATAAGTAGGAATGCGTAACACACATCCTAAACATTTCAATCCTCATCTAACACTCGACGGTTAACCTCAATATTACTCACCCGATTATACCACCACCACCTAATACTGGAGACTATAGGCGGATACAAATGATCAAAAACAGCTAGCCAGGCGCTCCCATTTTGAATCGCCATGTCTCATAGTCATAGAGGTTGACAGCCAGTTATCACGTCTGTGCCAGAGATGGCGTGAGTTGGCAAATCCTAAACGAACCTTTTGTATCCATACTGAGACTTCGTCAGAGATCAATTCGTCGGGGTTGATGGTACTTCCCAAATAAGTGAAGCGGTCAATGTGCTCTACCACTTCACTCCCTATTTCTAAACTAAGAGTCAGTGTAGTCCAGTCCTGTAACATCATCTTACATTTGGCAGGAGCGAATCGCATGCTAAACATCCGTAGATTTCAGCTCAAGGTATTCAGAAGACTCCGCATTTTGTCAGCGTCCTCGTCTAGAAGGAATATATCGTCTGGATATTCTTAGTCAACGAGATTATTCCGTGGTAGCAAGTCAATCCTTGAGTCTCTGAAGTGAGTTAGGGTTAAATCCATTAGTACATCTATGATGAAATTGAATAGAAATGGAGATAGTGGGCATCCCTTGCTGTCAGACACCACTAGTTGTCACCACTTCAGATGACAACTCGCCTTAGGCTCTCTCCTGGCTAGCTTCACGAGTTCGAGTAGATTACTTTGATCAGTGCAACATATTTTCTCGGCATTCCTTTCACAGCCAAACATCACCAGAGTACCTCTCAGTCAACAGAATCGAAAGCCGCCTTTAGGTCGAGAAATATAATGATTGTTGGACGCCGGTAAGAATGCCTATGTTCTAGAGTCTGTCGAAGGATGGGTGAAGATATGATCAATACACCCTCTTCCTGGTCTAAAGCCTACCTGGCTCTCTCGGTCTGTGACTTATGATATCCAATGATTTCCAAATATTGTTCTTCGTTATTACTATTCCTTTGTCTCACACTTCTGTTTACTGTCCCTGTTATGCATTTCTTCTCTTGCTGTGTGTGCCACATGGAGGGAGTGTGGCGACTTGAACTGGTGCACATCAGTGCAAAGTGGTTCTATGTCAAAAACAGATAGACGAAATAATTCTTCCTATAGAATTAAGTGAGTCGGTGGCATAGCGGCTAGGACACTCGCCGACCATGCACATGGTCCGGTTCCATCCTCGGCCACAGGTGCACTCCTTTACGTCGCTAAGCCAGAAATAATGCTGGTAAAGAGGAAAGGTTGGGCATGAGGCTGGCTAGCAACCCCATCCTGTAAAAATATACACTGTTACAGAAACTTCAAGCCACTAGCTTGAAGAAGTCCTATTTTCCACTGGGAACGTGAAGGAAAAATTATTATTACTTATAGAATTAAGTAATTAGCTTTCTTTCGGAAAAGCAAGACAAGCTTTCATTACTCTCAAATCTGTGTGGAGGTCAACAGCACTCAGCATCAAAAATAACATCCGGATTTTCAACTCCAATGTAAAGTCAGTGCTACTATACGGATCAGAGACTTGGCACTTCGAACAAACTACAGACCTTCATCAACAGCTGTCTTCGCTCAATACTCAAGATCAGATGGCCAGAAAAGATCAACAACAGCGATCTCTGGGAGCGAACCAATCAGGAACCGATTGTGAAACAAATAGGCAGGAAGAAATGGAGATGGATTGGCCATACGCTGAGGAAACCATCAAGTGACATCACTAGACAAGCCATCTCTCGAGTGGAACCCGAAAGGGATGCGGCGAGTTGGTCGTCCAAGGGTGACTTGGAGGAGGTCATACGAGGAGGAGATGAAAGCATGTGGACAGACCTGGAGCGGGGTGAAAAAGTTATCAGAAAACCGAAGGCAACGGAGGTGCGCAGCTGAAGCCCTATGTTCCTCTAGGAACTAAAGGATACAATAATAATAAATAATTCATAATATATTTATACAATATATTGATTCATTAAAAACACTTATGTGAAAAATTCTCCCCCTATTTCATAGAGTAACATAAATCAAGATTCGTTGGATAATTACAACCCGTTTGACGATCCTGCACCAAGTGAGTGTAATTCACGTATACTGTGATTATAAATTTTGTTTTTCCATTTCATTATTGTACTAACATTCACCGACACTAATCGATGCCTACACTTTTAAAATACTTATTTGCCATTATTATCCTTAATTATCTCTTGAAAGTCGTCTATTTTTGTGTTCCTTTATGCTTCTAGTGGAGCATAGAGCTTCAAATGCATTGAGCATTGAAGTTTCTGTAGCAGTGGTGTTGTTATTGATATAAAAGGTAGAACTTAGCGACTGTGATAGAGTATAATTCCATTATAGAGAAAAATTTATTTTGATAAGGTTTCACAGCCTGTTATACAGTAATATTTACTGATGACCACGTTTGCAGTACAATTTTATTTCATGCATTTATTCCCCTTAATGAATTTGAATAAAGCAAGAATAACAGTGGCGGTTTGTGCAGAATAAGATGATGGTACCATCATTGTTTATTTCGTTGGCTGGCTTCTCATCAGCTCAGCTGCCTGCTTACAGCCTAAATAAATTATGAGGTTTATGTACAGAAAAGTTTTAACATACTCGCAAGTTTTACATGTTGTCAGTTGACAGAAATTTCCACAATTAGTAAACAGTGCTCAAAAAATTGCGCTTATATAGTTTCTACACAGGCAGTTCAAGTTAAAACAAAATAAATCTATGCATATAATGGTAAGGGAGTTGCATAATAAAGATGAGTTGTGCGTTAGATGCATAGTGACTAGTAAGTTAGGTAACAATGTACTGAGTTGAACTCAAATCATAGAAACAAGAGACAAGCAAAATTACAAATTATAAAAAAGAAGGGGTGAGGTTAAAGATAAAGATTACGTTATCAGATGAGAGAATAAAGACATCCAGTTACCACCGGGGCAAGGGAAGACTGATAACTGCTTCTCTCTGAGCACACACATAAATCTGGTTTCAAGCGTTTGATAGAAATTGGTTCGGCAAACTTGAGGAGAATGGAGGTCCTTTGTCTATTGATAATTTTGAAGGATTTCTCGATTTCCACCTCATGACCACCCGTGTCGAGGAGATGTCTGTAATAGCGCTACTATAAGAGTTTGTTCCCTTGAGATGTAGACTTTTTGGCACATGTTCAGAAACATCTCATCTTTGATACGTAACTCCTTTACCATTGTATGCATACATTTATTTTGTTTAAACTTGAACTCCCTGTGTAAAAAAACTATATAAACTCAATTTTCTGAGAACTGTTCACTAATTCTAGAACTTACTGTCAGCTGACAACATGTAAAACTTGCGAGTATTTTAAGACGTTTCTGTACGTAAACCTCATAATTTATTTAGGCTGTGAGCAGCAGCTTATGAGAAGCCAATGAAATAAACAATGATGGTACCATCTTCTTATTCTGGACAAACCGCCACTGTTGTTCTTGCTTTATACAATTTTATTGCTGCTCATAATCATATCAAGACACTGCTCACACAACTCTAACTTAGTTTATATAGTTCCATTATCTTTCATCGCTTGACTTGATTGGTAGTAGTATTCTTCATATTTCAGGTATGAGTGATGAATCATTTCTATTGCATGTGTTAGGTGTGTAGATTCCATGAACAAAGATTCAATAATCAACCTCTATCTCCACCCACCCATATATATTACTTTTAGAATTGTAACCCTCTTCCACCATCCTATTGTATGGTAGTGTAACTGCTGACCTTTCTTCTAGATTACTTATCTTCATGAGGTCAATCATTCTACATTTAGCTACATTTTTATATTCCGATAATCTGACTACACTCCTAATCTACTAGTTTGACCCTTTTAGTTGACCTCACTCACAACCATTGCAAGGTATTTTGCATATTATATTATTTTGTTTAATTGGGTCCACCGGGTCTTTTAAGTCTATAGAGCTTGTCCCCTATCTGAGTGAGTTTGTAGAGTTGGACACACGCTGATCTGGACCGTTGGATGATATCGCTGGAGTGAAATCCAAATGCGTAACGTGGAGTGGGGCATCGAAAGGCGACATAAAGAAGACGAAAGTTTATGGGAAGTTGTGGGGTGGCCGGCTGAAGAAGACTTTAGACAACGAACAGGATGAAATGTGTGATGGTCTATTGAAGCCCTACGTTCCACTCGGAACTTAAGGGGATAGTAATAATAATAAATTTCAAGAGCTTTGTTCCAATCCAGTATAAAAAGAACTTAGTCAGAACACACTGTTCGATAGAGCACGAAAAATTTGTTCTGACAGTACTATTGAGCATGAAATAAAATCTCTGAAGGATATTTTATCTAAGAATCAATATCCTGAGAAGTTCATTAATGAATACATTAAAGAAATTAGCCCCTGCAAAACAATTCAAACAGTTTTGAAGAAATCTGTCCATATCAGTTTGCCGTTCAAAGGAGATGATGTGTACAAGAAGTAGTCAAACAGAGACTCGATAAAACCATCAAGAGAACTTATTAGGCTGCAAAACTTGTTTTCCTTTTAACACCACTAAGCGAGTACTTCAACAATCTGGGAAAGACCAGTATTCGCCAATCTTCGACACTTCAAACTGCCGTGTATATCAATTTGATTGTGTTTGTGGAAGTGTTATGTACTCGTCGCTAAATTATTGTTATGGACTGGTCGAGAAACTAATAGTCCTGACGCGAGAAGGCGGAAATCAGAAGACCACTAGGTTTGCGATGATACTTCTATTGTCCAAACACAAGGAGACGAAAATAAAAGGTCTCACACCAAAGTGGTAAGTAAGTAAAGTAGTTGTAAAGTAAAGTAGTTCACACAAATTGTGAATGCGAATATATATAAATAATTCAGACAAGCGTGGGAAAAATCATTAGACAGTCTTAACATGAATGGCTAATTATAATGGAGTGTCGATCCAATTATACATAGCGAATATAGCAGACATGCCAACAAACATATATGGATATATGTCACCAAGCAACGGACTGTCAACAAACACTCATATTATATATAATATAATATAAGGAGAATACACATTATTAAAGGAGACAAGTCCATACAAGTGAAGTGGTCACAGACTAACCGAACAAACAGAAAGAGAGACCAACATGCACACACACACATAAATATATATATGTGGATACATATCAGGAAGCAAATACGCATAAGTCGTACAGAAAGGCGATTGTCTACTCGCATGATGGAGCATTATGCCAAAATGATTGAATACAGCTGAGTGCAAAGTGACAAAATCCTCAATAACAAAACATCTTGTGGATTACGGACATGATATTGACGCGCTGCCAGTCATTCAGTATTGTCAGCAGACAAAGAAACAAGAGGATGCTTGCAATTCCCTAGGTGGCTTGTACAATTCGAGTTTATAAACCAGGTCTCTGTGTACAAAAGGGGATGGTTGTGACTCTGAATCTACCATGATAATACGTCTTACTTATCATTCTACCTCTTATTATTATTCTTGATTCATTTAAAACTATGCTTTATCAGTAGGATTACCTTAACTAACTTCAACACTATTATTATTATTGTTATTATAATTATCACTATTGATATTACTCTGTTTGCAATTCCTATTATATTCTCTAATGTCTAATTGTTTATCCAAGTGATGTAATTGAAGCGTAATGCAATTTATCTTAATTTTGATCTCTCATACTCTCTCTCCCCTTATCTATTTGAACATGACCTGGGAAACATTCGCATCTGCCTTTCTGCATGACTAATTCAATGTAGTTTGTTTACTTATCAGTCTAATATCTCCCAATGTAATTTCAGAAGTATATATATCCATGCGTTGGTGCCACAGTGGTTAGAACTCTCGCCCACCATGCACATGGTCCGGGGTTCGAGCCCTCGCCGACGCACACCTGATATCTATGGTCGGCCTGCGAAATTTAGGCTACCGATATCCACGCTGAAAATTCTATACTTGTACCAAAACTACGGTGTGGAATCAAGCTGTAATAAAAAATAAATATACTCAGCAGCTGACGAGTTCCACTGAAATTGGACGAATTCATTAAATCCTGCTTTATTAACCTTTATTGCTTGTTTTAAATAAATGTATAATTTATATATTGTGTAATTCACAGTTGTTGATTATTCCTCCATTTTAATTGCTGCTTTTGTTGTTTCTTCACCCCCCGCCCTCCAAAAAAATGCAGGATATGAAACATTAACACCAACTAGTAAAGATTCAGTTCTGGATGATCGAAGTTCCAGTTATGCAGTGGATATTCCGCCGCCACCACTTCCACCAATGGAAACGAATCCACCATTTGTTAAAGCTACAGCTGGTAATGAGAGCATCCTGGCATTAGAACGTAGACAAGCTGAACTTGAAGCTCGTGCAGCTGAACTGGATCGTCGAGAGAAAGAACAACAAGCTCGCATGAATTCTATCCAATCGACTCCAAGTAATGCTTTATTCTTATATATACATATATATTCTTCTCATGTGTATTTTCATGTATTGATTTGTAGAGGTTTAATAATTTTCTGACCACATAAATTAGAGTTCTCTCTGAGGATGAGGGGGACTACAGCTAGACAACCACCACCGACTGAGGTCTTGCGTACATCCTTCTGAGGACTTACAAACTACAATTGAAACAAGTGTTCACTACCCTCTACCTTCCAGTGGCTCTTTCTCTCTCTCTTTCTGATTGGTGTTATTTTGGTGATATGACTAGGAGTCAATTATTATTATTATTTCCTTTAATTCCTAGAGGAACATAAGGCTTCAGCCACGCACATCTCCATTGTGTTCCGTTCTCTGCTAAAGTTTTCACCTGGCTTCAGGTCTCCCAACATGTTTTCACCTCCTCTTCACATGACCTCCTCCAAGTTATCCTTGCACTGACGACCAACTCGCCACTTCCCTTTCGGGTTCCACTCGAGCGATGGCTTGTCTAGTGATGTCACTCACTTGATGGTTCCCTCAGAGTATGACCAATCCACCTCCATTTCTTCCTGCTTATTTGTTGCATAATCGGTTCCTAGTTGGTTCGTTCCCAGAGAAAATCTGGATCTTATTTTTCATGCTGAGTGCTGTTGACCTCCACATAGACTCGATTACTACGTTACATATACCTAGCAGTCAATAATTGTGTGTTTGGATCCTTATTGAAGATCAAATGGCTCGCCAGAAAGGATAAGTAAGAACCTTTCGTCCAGGAAATATTCCGATTCGTTGATTGACGATGGAAGGTTTGAAGCCTATGTTAATCCCATTTCTGATAAATTTTTGTGCTTGTCCAAACCCTTCTTGAATGAGTCAATTAAGAGCGCGCTGACATTACTTCTTCTTCTTCTTCTTCTTCGGGGAGTCGGTTCCAGCGGTTGATGACTCGGTGTGTGACAACCAGTTCTCCATAGAGATATTGTGGTTCCTCCTTGGCTTTTGAACTCTTCTGCTGTGTCCGTGAAGTTTTCTGACTATCTGGTGTGAAGGAAAAGAGAGAATGGACCAGGTTCGTAGTCATTATGTAAAATTTTAAATATTGTAAATATCTTCTGCCGACGCTATGATAGTGAGGAGAGATTTAAACTGTCTAGTCTTTTCTCGTATGATAAGTTAGTCATGCCAAGAATCATACGCGTTGTTTTCCTTTGAACCCTTTCTAAAATATATGAATCCCCTTCAACACAAGGACTAGCTGCCTGGATAGAGTTTTCCAGTCTTGACCTCATTAGAGATGTATATAAGAAGGTGAACATATCTCTGGTGATTCTAGTTAAGGCTCTGAGAATCACCATACAGGGTAGTTTGATAAATATGTTTTTCTTAGTGATGAGTTGGAGATGGGTCTTGGTGTTCCACTGATGACCAACTTACTCCTCTTTATGAATTTGTCTGGATAATTATTATCAACCAGAGTTTTTATCAGCTTTCTTCCTTCCTTATCAAGTGTGTCTTCAGTGCATGTTCATTGAATTCTACTGAAGAGGCACTTTACTATGGCTCTTTTATACCGAACAGAGCAGAAACTGTGCGGTAATTAAGATTCTGTCCACTCCAAGTAGGTTTTCTAAAAATGCATCATTTTATTGATCCATCAACCCGTCGACTTAGCAGTATATCTGGGAAAGATGAACAATTATCTTCCCTTTTAATTGGTGGATGATGGTGACTAGCAGTGGAATCCATCCAGGATGCTCATTTCGTCCTATTTGGGACTCATCCTCCTGCCGAATTTACCTGCATTCCACAGTGAGTCAGTGATGATGTTCCCACCGATGCTCGAACCCAGCGTCCATAGTTTCAAACGCCAAAGCGTTATCCACTAGACCACTCGGGCCACGAGAGCCACCTCTTGTTAAACAGTTCATATTAATTATTTAATTGATTGATTGGACGGAAGTAGTAGTTGGTCTCAGGTTGATATGTCGGCTTCTTGTGCCCAAGTGGCCTAGTGGATAACGCTTTGGCGTTTGAAACTATGTATGGGCACTGGGTTCAAGCCTCGGTGGGAACATCATCACTGACTCACTGTAGAATACAGGTACACATCCAGCAGGGGACGAGTCCCAAATAGGATGAAATGCGCATCCTGGACTCCATCGCTGGTCGCCGCCCACCAATTAAATTCTGACTACATGCCCAGATATCGTCGAAGCATCTGCATAAGAAGCCGACAGACATGTCAACGTGAGATCGAGCACTTCGGGTCAATCAATCAACAGGGGGGGGAATCTAAAATTCAAGTGTTGGTTTCTAGGGATTTGATGGGTTACAGGATTTCATCATAAGCTGACATCGGTTTGAGAGCCATTGGAAAACCTGCGGGGAGTACTGGTTAGCCAGCTGTTTCGTCAGTCTAGTTTGGGACTCTTCATCAGTACGCACCCACACTGCGGGGTTCGAACCCAGGACCTTCTAGTTACAAGGCCAGCGAGCTCATATTCCATTAAGCCACTGGGACCCGATCCAATTGCCTATGAATTCTAACTTCTGCCAATTCATGCAGCAGGTCGAGTGTGTGAGGACAAATACTCGCCACGGAAGACATTGGCTAGTGGTCGCATTATGTTGTAAATTGGCAGAAGTTAGAATTCATGCTCTTGCCATTGGATCAGGTCTCATTGGCTTAAAGGTCTACGAGCTCACCTTGTAACCAGAAGGTCCTGAGTTTGAACCCTGGTGGTTGTGTACTGATGAAAAGTCCCAAACCAATCTAAAATTCATTTCGATAAATTATGTTCCCTGTTCTACTGAAGACAAAGGTGATATATTATATGCTATTGTTAAAAGTCTTTAACTATTGATTACGTTTAGGTGTTGGCAGCACAGTGTACATTTTTGAAATACAATATTAGCCATGTAGATTACAGTAAAGACAGAAAGGAGGAATACATTTTTTTTCATAAATACCCTTGATTGATAGATGGATAGATAGATAGATATTTAACCAAATATCATCAATATAAAACTAAAATGAAATATAATGACAATACATATTTCTGTAATATACAACTGGTTTTCTCTTTCCTTCAAATACATATGTGTATACATTACGGTAACAATATTCTACTATATATCATAGGTAAAAAGACGGAGAATGATCGAATATGTACGTTCATTTATGTGTTTGTAGGTTTGTGTGTGTGCGTGCGTGTTAACATATACTCCACTATACTCAATATAATACTCGTGTTTTACACAACTCTTACATGCTTGTGTGTTTCTGTGTGTGTGTGTGTGTGTGTGTGAGCATGCGAGTGTGTACGTGTATCCATGTTAGTTGTGTGTGCATCAACGGGATTGACGTAGAAGACGAAGAAGAGACTTGCTTTGCCTTGCCTTGTTTTCTGATGTGCAACTAAGTTGGGGTATGTATATATATATATATATGCATATAAGTAGTATTCTTAAGTAGTAAGAATAGTGGAATTTTTCTTTTCTTTTTTGTCTTGTTTAAATAAATGCGATTATTATTGTGTAGGCGTGTATAACACACACACACACACACCTACACTGGTTCTTCCATTAACTCAAAAAAATATTAAATTCAGTTGTAATGCAGCTTTTTTTTTTAAATTTTTTACATAGTTGGTACTCCACTATTAATTTGTCTATTAGATATATCATATCCACACACACACACACACAATCAGTGAAACAGTATTATTGTCTACTGGATGATGACGAAGTTTCGAGCACACAACTTCTTTATTGTTCATGATCATATCACTAATTATATAATCACAGAATTTCGAAACTTGACTTTATTTTCTTTAGTTTTCTTTACTCTTTCCTATTCGTCGTCGTCGAAGTCTCGTCTGTCTGTTTTCGACATAGAACCACTTTGCACAGATGTGCATCAGTTCAAGTCGCCACACTCCACACCATGTAGCACATAAAACAACAGAAGAAAGTAGAAGAAATGCATAATAGAAACAGTAAGTTGAGGTGTGAGACAAAGGAATAGTAGTAACGAATAACAATGTAGTTTCATTGGAAATCATAAGTCAAAAGGAGTGGACGCATTCGCGCTAGCCACTGAGAATGATTTCGAGTTGGTCATATCACCAACTGTTTCCAACCATTGGTTTTTACCGTCCCAGGAAGTGTACACCTTCCTATGTGCCTTAGACTAAGTGTTGTAGATTTCATAGTCTCATGAAGCCATGTTTTGGTTTGACCACCGCTAACTATTTTTCAGCCTGACGCTGTATCAGCTAACATTTCCCGTCGAGGAAGGCGGTGACTAAGCATAAGTAGCACATGTCCTAACCATCTCACAGTCGATGTAACTGCTTCACAGCCACGTCGATTGATTTCCCCTCCCACCTACCTAGCACTCGACGCCTAACTTCAATATTGCTCACCTTATTGTACCTCTTAACACTGGAGATTTTTACGCAGGTACCTATGATCAAAGACGGCTAATCTTTTCATGCCTTCCACTGTCAATGGCCAGGTCTCACAGCTAGCCATAAAGGAGGATGGAGCGGATTGCTGAGCAGTACACCCGCCGTTTGGTCGATAGCCAGTCAGCTGGATATCACGTCTACGGCAGAGACGGCGTAAACTGGCATATGCGAAACTGCCCCTCTGTATCCGTGCTGAGATTTCGTCAGAGATCAACCCGTTGGGACTGGCTGATGTTCCTTCCCAAATAAGTGAAGCGGTTAACGTGCTCCTTTACCACTTCACTCCCTGTCTCTAAGCTAGGAATCAGTGTAGTCCAGTCATGTAACAACATCTTACATTTGGCGACAGCGAATTACATGCCAAATATTCGTAGATTGCAGCTCAAGGTGTTCAGGAGACTCTGCACTTTTTCAGCGTCTTTGTCTAGAAGGACTATATCGTCTGCATATTCCAAGTCAACGAGGTTATTCCCTGGTAGCAAGTCAATCCCTAAGTCCATGAAGTGAGTTAGGGTTAAATCCATTAGTACATCTATGATGA